ACCACACCCACTGCCTGGAGTCCATTCCGACCCACAGCGCCCCTAGAGGACAGAGTGGAACTGCCCCACAGGGTCTCCAAGGCTGTCAGTCTTTACAGAAGTAGACTGCCCCATCTTTGTCCTGCAGAGCAGCTCATGGGTTCAAACCACTGACCTGTAAGTTTGCAGATGAGTGCTTTAACCCCTGCATCCCCAGGGCCCCTGTTTCTGTAGAGATAGGTGGAATGAAATCCCGGCAGATCTCAGCCCTCAGGATGAAGTTACTATGCACTGTCCATGCTCTGGCCTTGACCCAAGAAACCCAAAATGTATGTGTTGACCTTCTGACCTTCAGAGGCAGCAAACAGGGGAAAATGACTGCTAAGCCAAGCAGAGGCCGACTGGCCTTGCAGGACTGGGTTTATAACGAAGGAGAATGCTCATGGTAGCATGCGACTCCTGTTCCACAGGGCTTTAGCCGCTGCCTGGTGGGGTGGGAAACTTTGTCTGTGTGGAGAATTCTGCCGCACATGGTGGTCTGTGGGCAGCCGGGCCTCACGGATTAGCCTGCTGAGTGTCTCAGGCCAATCGCTTCACAGGTGAAAACGTGGCCTTAGAAAACTCATTTTGGCCCCCGTTGGTTGGGTTTGCTTGCTCTTTCCGCCATCCGGGTGTGTGCTGTCCTGCCCGGGCTGCTGCGAAGGCACTTCCACGCTCGTTTAGCCCCAGAGCCTTGAAAGCCCTCGTCCGAAAGCCCGTGCTCGCACAGTTCCCTTCCAGGTTTGCAGGCTGGCGGATGCTAACATGTCCGCCCTGCCCTCTCCCTCTTCTGCTCCCGGCAGAGAGCTGGTCGGAGTGGTCGGACTGGTCCCAGTGCGATGCGTCCGGAGCCCAGGCCCGCACCCGCCAGTGTGTCCTTCTGTTCCCCGTGGGCAGCCAGTGTTCCGGAAACACCACGGAAAGCCGGCCATGTGCTTTCGTGTCTAACTTCATCCCAGGTAAGGGCGGAGGGGTGGCTGGCATGCGTGAGGTCACTTCCGTCATGTGGAGAGGAAGTGATGCTCAGGCCAGAGTGGGCCGTCCTGAGGCCTTGCTTGGTGACACAGCGATGTCCTGGCCCCCTGTGGTTTCGTGGTGACTCCAGGGTCGATGGGAGCTCTGGTGGAGACTTGAACTGACTCCGTGAGCTGAGCACGGCGTCGTCTGTCATTCCTTGACTGTAATTCAGTCAGAAAATGTTGCTCACAGAGTGAGAGGGCCACCTTGGTTACTTTGTTTGTGGCTCTGGCAGCACTGTGAGTGTGTTTGCACGGGGAATGGCCACATGTCTCTCTGCCGCCTTGATGTATTTGGGAACACAAAGACTCGTTGTCTCAGCTTCCCAAAATGCCACAAAGCGGACAGCTTTAAAGAACAGAAATACATTGTCTGGCCCTGGCAGCCAGAAGCCCCACCTCGCAGTGTCGGTGTGCAGACTCCTCTGAGGCTGCCTTTCCGCCTCCTGGTGCCCCAGCGACGCAGCTGCCCACCGGCCCTGGCCTCCTTGGCTGATCACAGATGCATCTCTGAGGTGGCTACCTTCCTCCGGGTGGGACCCTTAATTCTGAGTTGCCCTGTCCTTTGATAAGCTGCCACCCAGAAAGGACCAGGTGCAGCCGCCACCACCAGCCACTCTGCGGAAGGATGACTGAGTGATCTACTTCAGTAAAGATTTACTGCCTCGGAAACCCAGTGGGGTCACTATGAGTCGGAATCCACTTGATGGCATTGGGTTCTTTGAGTTGTACATGCCTGTGCCTTTGTTAATGTAATTGAAAACCTCTTCAAGAAAGACCCTATTTCCAAGCCCAGTCCCACCCACAGGCACAGAGGTGGGCTTCAACACAAGTCACCCCCACAGGAGCCCTCATGATTCTCGCCTTGAGGGACGTCTGGTCGGCCTCACACCACGGATCGTGCAGAGTAAGATCAGGTGAGGGGTCGTGGGAGCCGACCTCTGCTGCACGCTCAGCGGGAAGGGGTTTGCACTCAGCGATGAGATTCCGCGTGGGCCTGGAAGACCCCCTGAGGGCACAGCAATGGCGGGGCTGGGCCATAGGACCCCCTTGGCTCTGCTTTTTGCCCAGTTGCAGGAAATACAATATTTTAGAGAAAACGATTGGCTTTTAGGCATTTCAGACACCCAGTCGTGTGTGGTATAGAACCCTGAGAGTAGACGTGTGGTTTTCTTTTCCTTGTCACTATGACCTGGTGTTCCTGTTCTGTGATGAAAGGCCAGTACAGGAGACTCCGACGTGTTTGCGCTCTGGGAGGGCGTTTTATGCCCGGGGTTCAGACAGGAGAGCCACGCCCCCACTGCCATCATCCCTGTGGGTTTTACAGCGGCGGCTGGAGACAGGGAGGGGTTCCTGAGCGGTGACTGCGTTTATTCGGCCCTTGCCTTGGAGCTGGGCAGGGAACGGGCCACAGCAGCCTTGACGCAGCACAGGGTCGAGGCAGGAGAAGCTCAGGCGGCCTGAGCAGGCCACTCAGCAGCCGGTGCTGCAGAAAAACCCCGCGGCCCGGCCTGTTCCAGCCATTGGCCAGGGCTCAGCCCAGGTTTCAGGAATGTCACCTCTTCCCAATCAAGGTGTCCTCAGGCTGGTTGGGAAATAAATAACAAATAAACCAAACCAAAAAACCAACTCACTTCTGTCGAGTCGGATCCAACTCATAGCAATCCCTCCTCGGGTTTCTGAGGCGGTATCACTACGAAAGTAGATCACCCAACTTTCCTTCCAAGGAGTGGCTGGTGGGTTTGAACTGCCAGCCTTCTGGTTAGCAGTCAAATGCAGACATTGTGCCACCAGAGCTCCTAAAATATAAGGGTCTAAATACCTGGGACTTTGGGAATCTTGCCTCATGTCAAAATCCAAATGGCACACTGTAAGGGCGATTAGCGGGGTCTTCTCACCAGCACCACGTCCTTGTGATCCGGTCTCTCTTTTCTCAGAGGTGTCTGTGGCCAGGTCCCGGAGCGTGGAGGAGAAGAGGTGTGGAGGTAAGCTCTTCACTCCGACTCGTGTGTTCTCCAGCCCCTTCTCACCCGTCAGAATTAATGTTTCCTTGTGGTAAGATGTATGCATAACGTAGCACTGTCCAGTTCTGAATTGTTCACATGCACAGCTCAGTGACACTGATGGCATCCGTCACGGCGGGCTACCACATTCATGTGGACAGATTGGTGGCACTGATGACCTTCGTCCTGTCGGGCAGCCACCTCCAGTACCCATTGCTGAATTTTCCGTTACAGCAAACACTCAGGGCTTCCTAAGTGATGGCTGTATATGACGTTTCTGTGGCCAAGAAGGCCAGTCAGAGTAACTCCTGGGCCAGACACCTTCTACTTTCGTAGAATAAGTGCCAGCTGTAAGTACTATATCTAGCGTCTAGACTAGTGCATGTCAGTGTGGGCTCACCAGATTGGCACCACCTGGGACCATGGCAGAAGGCAGATTCTTGTACCCACCCTGGTCTACAACATCAAAACTTCTGGGAGGGTCACCCAGCAGTCTGCGGTTTACAGAGTCCCCCAG